CAAACAAACGACGCACAAGCATGACCATCACCATTATCGTCATCACAAACGCGCAGAGTGGAACAGCAATGGTATCAAGATGTGGTTCTTCTGGCGCAACAGCATCCCGAGGGACATCCAGATCGGCCAGCCCAACCCCAGCTCCTGGGGCAAGTACGTCACTGACCACCTTCCATCAGGCATTGCCTTCACCCGCTGATCCGGCGGTGGTGCGTGTGCGTGTCGTGTCGTGTCGTGCGCTTCTTTTCGCAGGCCTTACGCCAACTTCCAGTTCGGCAGCAACTGTCCTTCGTCGCACTTCTACAACCACCAGATCATCATCAACCTCACCTTCTGCGGCACGTGGGCCGGCGACTCGTGGGTGTGGAAGAACACCGGCTGTGGCCAGTACGCCAGCTGCCAGAACTTCGTCCAGCACAACCCGCAGGCCTTTGCCGATGCTTACTGGCAGATCAATTCCCTCAAGGTCTACCAGTGGCAGTAGACAACCAGTAGACGCGATGCTAGCGTCAACAAAAATAAATTCATAAAAAAAAATAATTCCATGCACAGAACAATCACCATATCCTTCCGCGCCGTGGTTCACTTGACCGACAAGCTTCCCCACGGGCCGTACGCAGAAGGGGACATGGTCAGCGTGACAATCTTCGTGCCTCCCGACAGCACCGTGGCGGACGCGAGAGAGACGATCACGAAGTGGTTGACGACCGAGGACAAACGTGCGGCCAAGAACGTGAACCGAGCTCCTGGCCCGAAGCTGGTGAAGCTGTCCTTGACCCCGACGATTACGGAAATCAAGTGCAAGGGAGGGACCGTGCGGGACGAGCAACGGCTGAGCGATCTGTTGGAGGACGGCGAAGCGTTGGAAGTGCTGGCCGACCAAGATTACGCTCCCAAGGCTGGCTGTACCCTCTCCTAGCGTGTGCTTGGCTGAAGCATCCGCAGCACGCGACAGCGTCACAGCGAGGATGGTGGAACACTTGCACGTCAGGATGGCCTTGGTCATTCCCTCTAGCAGGAACGGGCCAACTGACTTTCAAAGACAGTCCTTCGATCCTGCCTTTACATCGCCACTGTTGCTGTTCTTGACGGAACCTTCGGTGGGGTCAAGCGGCACAAAGTAGACGAGAACACCCTCGAGGCAGACAGTGGGCTCCTCGCAGATTGCTTTGTGGTCGTCTCCGGTGGTGGGCGAATCGACACATAGAGCTCTCTTCTTGCACCCACTCCACAAAGGTGTCTGCGTCCACGCACGCAGCAGGGGAGCACACTTGATGTGGGAGGGGATGACATATGGTACCTCAATGACAGTGGCATGCGTGAAGGGGCCAATCGTGAGCCCATTGTTGATGGTCATAAGTATCCCAATGTGGAGGACATGGCCAATCAGCTGCTTGCCATAGACCTGACCGCCGAGATCACAAAGTGGCTTGACGAGCAAGCTGCTTGTGTCAGCAATCTGATTGAGGCCATAAGCCAATACCGCCGCCAGTGCTGGCTAACAAGGCCGATGGCCCCGTCAGTAAACCCAGAGAGGCAAGTGTTTTCATGCATGACGCTGGCTATGACATTATGGAAAATAACTTCAAAACCACTCTTGAGGATCACGGGCAAAGGTGCAACTTAATGGGGCAAAGAGATGCATCAGGTATCTGCGGTTGTGGTTCAGGCCATGGGGCAGGAGCCAATGCTGTTGTCACCAACAAATGGGCATGTTTTGGTGGATGGGCATGGTGAGGTGGTGGTACATTTGTAGGGCTGAACACAGATGGTCTGCTGTGTGGTGGGGTTCCAGGCTTTGCAATGGGGCGAGGGACACAGGCAGGGATGAGCGAAGCCTGGGTTGGTGTAGCCACGGTTGCAGAGACAGGAGCTGTAGGGAATGGCAGGGTTGGAGCTGTAGGATTGGCAGGAGATGGAGGAGTATTGGGTGGCAGCTTGAGGGCACTGCCAGGCATGGCGACAGTGCCCCATGGGGATGCACTTGGGTTGGCCCTGGTGCCAAAAGAGGGTCTTTGTTGTTGGGGTGGCACTGACAGGCTGAGTTGGTGTCAATGGTGGCAGTGGTGGTGTTCCAGGTGAAGCCACAAGAGGGTAGGCATTGGCACAGAGGCCATCCTTGTAATTGGCTGTGGGGAGGGACACTGGTACTTGGGGTCGATCAGTGTGGTGGTGTTGGTGGTGATGGGGGCTGGCAGGCAGGTATTGGGCTGGTATGATATGGTGCTGTTGCTGGTGTAGCCCTCCTTGCATTGGCAGGCATATTCAGGAAGGGTCTGTCCAAAGGGTGTGGCAAAGGTGCAGATGGTGTTGGGGTGGCAGGAGCTGCAGGGTCTGGTTTTGATGCAGAAATTGCAGCACTTGGGGGTGTCAGGGCCAGGCATGATGTGCATGCAGTGGATGTTGGGCAGGATGGTGGCAGCCTGGGTGTGGAAGGTGTAGCAGCTGGTGTGGTTGGTGAGGTAGCCAGAGGGGCAGGTGTCAGGGCAGGCCTGCATGGCGGTCAGGTAGGAGATGCAGTGCTGGTAGTTGGTGTAGGCTTGGTTGGGTCCAGTGCAGGAGGCGTTGATGATGGCACAGATCTCAGTTGGTGACAGTGAGCCCTGGGTGGCCTGGAAGTAGTGCATGACAAGTGGGTCCTGGTGTGAGTAGTCAAGGTACACAAGGGAGGTGTTGGGTTGAAAGGCAAGCACCTGGTGGTTGACAAAGCCATCAAAGCACAGGCTGCACAAAGTTGAGTAGTTGGAGATGGTCTGGTAGGCAATGGTGTTGACATTGGTCCAGATGAGGCCATGTCAAGACTGCTGTTGATCTGCACCCAGTTGGGGTCCACAGCAAGGATGGCATACTCACAATACTCCTCCTTGCCAACAAAAACCATGGTTGGACAGGTTGGAGGGTTCTAGGGTTTTCAGGGTCAAGATGTTGGCAGGCCATCACTACACTCTGGCCACCTGAAATCCTTTGGCTGCCTCTCCACCAGCCATGACTGGATGGGTTGGTGTTTCAGGGTCTAGGTCAAGACATTGGCAGGCCATTGCAATACCTTTGGCCTTTGGCCACCTCTCCACTGGCCATGGCTGGACAGGTTGAGGGTTGAGGGTGAGGACGTCAACAAGGCATCCCCAAACACCCTTTGGCCACCTCACCACCATCCATGGCTGGATGGGCTTAGGGTTAAGAATCACATGGAGGCTGAACATCAAGCCAAAGGTGAGGACAGTGCAGGATGCTTTCCCACAAGTTGTCACTGAGGACCTCAGCTGCTGGGCCTCTGCCCAAGGCGCAGCAGCATGTCAGTGTGAGCCATGGCCCAGTGCATTGCAAGTTGGGAGCCAGAGTGGCTTCTCTGGGAGGCATGCATATGTTGTAGATGTGAGAGTAGAAGTACAACCATGTGGATCTTTTGGATGGTTTGGACATGGTGGAATCCACAAGGCTGAACTGGCACAGGTGTTTGGCCCAGTCAATGAGGATGGGAGTGGCACAGGCCAGGTGCAAATGATCTTGGCCAGAATGTGGCAGGATATGCACCAAGGGATGGCATTGTCTGGTAGGTACCATTGGAGGTAGGTGAGCCATGCTGAGTTGGTCCTTGCAAGTGCTCTGGCTGAGCACTCTGTGTATGAGTGTGTTGATTGTGTTGCTGTTTATGGTGACAATGTTGTGGAGATCCACCCCTTGCTTGCAAGATGATGAAGCCATGTATTGAGCAAACTCTAGGAAGACTTTGTGCTATGCCATGAGATGAAGGCCAAGGTAATGTTGAATGGCCTTGGTGATTCTATATGTGGTTCTAGTGGCAAAGGTCGTTGCTTGGCCTTGTACTTGCCAGTGCTTCCCTTCAATCCACCAGGGTAGGTCCATTGTGATGGCCATCTTGGCCTGTAGGATGCTGTACTCACAGCGCCTTGCAGTGGGGAGGTGCTGCCCCACCAGCCCATGTGCACAGTGTTGCCACTGACTTTAGCCACAGGCATACTGAGAGGCACTTGCCTTACTACCTGACAGACCTTCTCCAATGAACTGGTGTCCTTGGCCAAGAGAAGGCTCAAGAGGGTGTCAGGCACAGCTGAGGACTCAATGGCAACAGTTTCACAGCTGCTTTCAGGACAAGAGAGGGAAGACAGCTGGCATTGATCGTGGGCAGCCACCTTCACCTTACCTCACGTATCTCAGAACCATTGCATGACTTCACACATGTCATTGACAAGTTGGTCAACTCAGAGTTGGTCATCTCAAGCTCAGGGGTCACAGTGCCACTGGGTTGCTGCATGTGCAACTGGCCTGGAGCGGTGATGGGTGTCAACTTCAAGGCTTGCATTGTTGTGATTGTGTTGGTGTGGTTCCACTGGTTCAATTTTTAAGTAGATTCTTATTTTTCTTATTTTTGAGAAAATATTCCGAAATGCATCCTTTTATAAAAAAAGGAGGCCTATCACAACAACTCCGAAGTTGTTTTAACCCAAATAACCCATATATTCAGGTAATTTCTATTGCGGGGCGCTGGAGAATGGAATGCGGCGCTGAGAGAAACAAGACAAGAGCAAACCACAACATGGACGCAGCTCGAGAGCTCTACGCCAAGCCTCCATCGGTCGACGGGCTGTGGGACCAGCCAGTATTCACTGCGCTGCCGGCAAGCAACACCCCTGACGCACTGCTGGACAGGTTCTCCTCCATCTACTACGGCATCGGGTCAGTACAGTTCGCCAGGTTCTCGATGGCCACTGAGCCGCGCCTGGACTGGTTCCTGGTTTGCAATCGGGAGAACGAAATCCACTTCTTCGCACACCTGCTCGCCTCTCCTGCTGTGCGTGAGGCTCTGCCCGAGTTAGGTGCCCCGAAAACTGGCTCACGCACCCTGCGCTGGGAGGCGCTCAACGCCACCGAGCTAGCAGACAAGTTTGCAAGCGTGTTGCAGCAGGGTGGGGCCTACAAGAGGTATCAAGGCGGCGATGCCAAGGCAGTCAGCCAGCAGGCCTGCCAGGTGCTCCTTGGCGATCACCCCGAGGATCAACTTGTGTTCCGCACGAGTGCCGCCTGGAGTCCGTGGTTTGGCGGCGTCGTGTGGGACAACACGTGGATTGGCATCAACAAGAGCACCAGGCGCATCTGGCTGCTTTGTGCCACCGACTCTGACTAGCACTTGTGGTCTCCTCGTCAATAAAGAGTTGTTTTTCGTTGCGCAACAGAGCCAAGGGGCGGAAACTCCTCAGAGGAGAGAAGGGAGAAGAAATGGAACATGCAAAAGTAAAATAGGGTACACAAAAACGCAACACCAAGACGGTCAGAGCCAAAGGTAAGGCCAACACAATGTGAGGCACAGGTACAGGCCAGAGGTATGACGTTTGTTCCTGTGCTGATGTTTCTTACCATGGCACACACAAGTGGAGAGTTTCATAATGGGGCTGCTGGAGTGGCACTCCTGAAGCCCTCAACAACTCTCCAATGACAACAACATCAACACCCAAGATGTGGTGGTGGTGGTGGTGGCCAACTGACAGTGCAGACAGATTCTGAATCTGGGACAGGTTTTGGGGCAGGCCAACTTCTTGGGTGGGCTACAGTATGGATGGATGGTTGCTTGGCTGGTCTTGGGACTTTGGACTGCCCTGGTGTCTTGATGTTCCCCCCCACCTGAAAGTCTTGTTGGGGTCATTGTCAAGAGACCATTTGTCAGCAAGGACTTTTGAGGCTTTGGGCCACATTGGCTGGTTGCTTGGCTGGTCTTGGGACCCAACATGTTGTTGTCATCATCTCTTGGCCACCATTGTGGCCATCACTGTCATCATCATTGACAAGACCATGTATCTAAAGGTGACAACAACAGCAACAACTTTGGGCCATGGTGCACCCACCATGTTGTTGCCAGTGCTGATATTGACAACAACAACATCTTGGTCATGATATTGGATGGGTGGGATGGGATGGGGAACCAAGAGATGAGACTGGTTCCTGCTTATGTGGAGTCTTCCATCCATCCATACTCTACTGTCTCAAGCCAGATCTGTCCCCCCCAACAAGTCTCCAGCAACAACAACTACAACAACAACAACAACCAATATTCAGTGGCCAACAGCACAGACGGACCAATGGATGGATTGGTTCTGGTTCTTGGAGGCCACAGTGCAGATGGTTGGGTGGATGGTGGTCTTGAGATCATAGACCACTCCACCCCAGTCTCCTGGTATCCTTCTCCATCATCCAAAGTCTTGTGGCCTTCATCAACATCATCATTTGTTGTCATTGAGACCAGTTGACAATGACTTTATTGACAAGAACTTTTGGCGGAGGGAGGAGGGCTTTGGGTCATGTCATGGTGTGGCTGCAATGTGGGCTGCATGGCTGCTTAGGGCTAGGGATGGAGGGCAGGGCCTTGAGACATGATGTCATCATCATTGTCATCATCCTCATTTGGCTACCACCACCAGTGCTGAGACCATTGGGCTGTTGATGATGGCAAGGAGGAAGTTAGGGTGGCCTTGTGTTGTGACCAAGTTGGTTGGTTGGTTGGCAGCAAACATTGTATCCATTGTCTGCCACCACTAGGCCCACTTACAATGACAATGACAACAAGTTGGCCATTGTGGTCCCTTGGTGCTTGGCCATTGCCACCACTGCTGATGTCAATGGCGTGATGATGATGGTGATGGCAATGTCTTGGTCACAACATTGGGTGTGGGTTGAGAGGCCAGGTGGGGATTGACTCTTCTGTCCATCCATTGGCATGGTCTAGAATCCATTCACCCAAGTACCATGGAGCGTCCAACTTCTCCAGGCTCCAATGACAGAAGCCACAACTTCCCCCTTTAAGCAACCAGGATTTGGTGGTGGTGGCCAACAGCATAATGTCATTCCACAACACTGTGTCCAGAAAAAGGTGCCAGTGGCACCTTTTGTTAAGTAAAATCTGTACAAGTGATATATGTGTATGTGCAGCGAAAGCAGTACTTTTGTGAACATGGTGTGTGAGTGGTTTTGGCAAATTATGTACAGAGAGTGGCAAAACAGGGAAAAATGGTGTAGGTCATGGTAAAAGCAGGTGGGGGCAATGAAGAATTTCAAGGCATAAGTGTAAAAAAGGGCTAATGTATTTTGTTGAAATGAGGAACAGAACAGAGTGGAGGGCAACATTAGCCAATGGACTTCCACACTTTCCATGGACCAGAAGAGGAGGAGGAGCTGGTCTTGGGTGTGAGAGGGCCAAGGGCAGGATGTGAAGTTAGTTGTAGGAAGGAAGTGATGGCTGTGAGATCTGACTCCTCCAGGAATTTAGAGTGGAAGGTGAGGAGCCAGTTGGTGAGAGAGGAGATGTTGCCCTCTGCTATGGGGGTAGAGGAGAGGCAGACAAAGCTGGAGTAAAGGGTAGCACAGAAGGAGAGGTAGTAGGTGGGATTTGCCTCATAGAGAATGTGGTAGGGAGTGGTGGGTGATGTGATGGGGTGGGGAGAAGGATTGGGAAGCTCTAAGCTCTGGATGAGGAAGCTGTAGAGGCCAATGTGAAGCAGGGTGCGGTCCAATGATTGAGCAGTGAGGAAAGCAGGAGCAGAGCAGACAACCTCACACATTGGGTGTGGGATGGGGATGTGGTGCAGATAGCAGAAGGGTTCAGGGATGGTGTCACTGGCCAGAGGATGCCAGATGGCAGACATGTTAACCCTCTTGTGGCTGAAGATGAGAACATCAAAGCCACTGACAAGAGGTTCAGAGGTGGGCATGGAGCTGGAGTAGGCAGAAGACCTGGAGGGTGGAGTGTGACTTGAGTGAGGTGATGGTGTTGGCAATGTTGGAGGGAGATGAGGAGATGTAGAATCTCTGGAGAGCAAGCTCTGCCTTGTGCTTGATGGTAGATGGCGACTTTTCCTCTTCAGCCTTACCCTTGCCATGTTTCTTGGTAGCTGTAAAGAACAAGCATGTGGTGAGCTTGGAACTTTACCAGCAAAATGAAAATGTACTGGTTGGGGTGGTTGGAGTGGTGCCAGAAGCTTCAGTGGCAGTGGGTACTGTGGGCTGACTAACTGGTGAGGAGACGTCTCCTCTGCCTCATTGCTGAGAAGTTTCAACTGGAACAGGTGCTTGCAGAACATGTAGACAACTTCAGAGGTGATGCTGCAGGGCTGCTTGATCTTGATGTTTTTACCACACAGTGCACTGTATTCCACAACGCAGATCCAGTCCCAGATGTGGTGAAGCTCCTCAGGATCTTCACAGCAGCAGTCAGCCTCCATGGCTGCATGAACAGCCTGACAAAAGGCCTCCATCTGCCTTTTGATCATGCTCCAGTGGTTGGTGATTAGTGACCAGAAGTTGTCTGGCAAGAGGGAAGTAGTTAGACTTGTGGGGTGAATAACAATTACTAAAAAGAAAGGACATACTCTTGGAAGGGGCTTGGTGTTGATAGCACTTATAATGGTGAAGCACAGTGATCATGTCATTGGCACTCAATTCCCTGAAGGCACCAGAGTTGAGGTTGTCAAGGGAGATGAACACCTGACCCTTGCTAACCACCTGCACTGTTCAGGCAGGGCAAGTAGTCTGGCGGCCTCCTTGCATTGCTCTTCAGTGTTGCCTTCAGAGTACTGGCGCACCACCAGCTGCTTGTGAGGCTTGGTCTTGATCTCCTCCACCTCCATCTCCTTGTCCACATCAATCACCACTGGGTGTGCACATTTCCTCTCCTTGTGCTCTTCCTCTACCAGCTTAGACTTCCTTGGCAGTGCTTGGTGCTCCTCCTCCTCCAGCTCCTCCTC